TACGGTGGCCAAATTCAGAAGCGTGGCTCCCTTGGGGGAGGTGAAGGACTGGGGTGAGGGAGGCCTCTGCACCGTGTTCCAGAGCCCCTTTTGGGCTGGGAGGCCATTACACAGATGTGTTCACTCTGTAAAATCTATACTTTTTATAAAAATCAACTCAAAATGGATCACAGACCTAAATGTAAACCACAAAGCTCTACAAGTCCTAGGAGATCACACAGAACAAAAATCCAGGTGACCTCAGAGATGGCTTTTCAAATACAACCCATGCACAGTCCATGAGAGAAATAGCTAATGAGCTGGACTTCATTAAAATGAAAAACTTCACTCTGCCAAACATACTGCTAAGAGAATAGAAAGACAAGCCAGACATCGGGAGAAAACATTTGCAAAATATGTATCCGATAAAGGACTCGCATCCAAATATCTAAAGACATCTGTTCAGGTCTGAGCAGAACTCTCATGGAAGAAGATATACAGATGGCAAACAAGCACACGAGAAGATGCTCCACATCACATGTCGCTAGAGAACCGCAAATTACAACAACGAGACAGCACTGCACCGCCTGCTGGAGCGGCTAAATCCAAACCACTGGCAACGCCAAGTGCTGGCGAGGATGCAGAGCAACCAGAGCCCTCATTCACTGCTGGGGGGAATGCAAAATGGCTCGGCCACTTTGGAAGACAGTATGGGGATTTCTAACAAAACTAAACATACCCTTACCACATGATCCGGCAACACCCCTTGGTATTTACCCATGGGTTGAAAATTTATGTACACACAAAACCCTGTACACAAATGTTTCTAACAGCTTTATTCAAAACTGTCAAAACCTGTAAACTACCAAGATGCCCTTCAAGAGGTGAATGGATATATAGTCTGTGGCACATACATGCAATGAAGTATCATTCAGCAATCCAAGAAATGAGTGAGCCAGACACAAAAATCCATGGAGGAACCTTAAACGTACAGCACTACTAAAATTGCAAAAAAAAAAAAAAAATCAGCTGGGCATGGTGGTGTGCACCTGTAATCCCAGCTTCTCGGGAGGCTGAGGCAGGAGAATCGCTTGAACCTGGGAGGCGGAGGCTGCAGTTTTGAAAAGCTACATACTATGTGATTCCAGCTGTATGACGTTCTGGCAAAGGCAACATGGAAACAGTAAAAAGAACAGCAGTTACCAGGGGAGGAGGGGAGGGCTGAATGGGTGGAGCCCAGGGGAGGCGTAAGGGTGATGAGACTATTCTGTATGATCCTGTCATGGTGGATCTATGATGTCATGTATTTGTCAAAAGTCATAGACTGCACAATGCAGAATGAACCTTAGTGTAAACCAAGAGTTTAATTCATAATAATGTATTGATACTGCTTCATCGGTTGTAACAAATATGTCACATCAGCAGGCATGGTGGCTCACACCTGTTATCTCGGCCCTTTGGGAGGCTGAGGTAGGAGGATCACTTGAGCCTAGGAGTTCGAGACCACCCTGGACAACATGGCAAAACCCCATCTCTACAAAAACTACAAAAACAATATTAGCTGGGCACTATGGTGCATGCCTGTGGCCCCAGTGACGTGGGGGCTGAGGTGGGAGGATTGCGGCTGCAGTGAGCCGTCACTGTGCCACTGCACTCCAGCCCTGGCAACAGAGGAAGACCCTGTATCAAAAAAAAAACAAAAAAACAAAAAAGAATGTGTCACAGCAATGCAAAATGTTAATAATAGGGGAAACCTGGAGGAGGAGAGGTCCTATGGGAACTCTCTGTATCAGCTACCCAATTTTACCGTAAACCTAAAACTGATCGAAAAAAAAAAATTATCAATTTTTAAAAATAACAGAACCATGCACTCGCAATCTGTGCTCTTTACTGTGTGCATGTTATATTTCAACAACAACAACAAGCATCTTTTCTGTGAGGCTTATGAGAGACTCAGTTCTGAACTGACGCAACTCCCAAGGCCCTGGGAAACTGTGCCCGTCCAGGGAGGACCTCTCCCGCAAGCTGCGGCTGCTGAAGGAAGCCCAGAGCTGCCCAGGCAGAGACTCAGCTACGTAAGAAATTGAAATCAATCAGGTGGGTTTTATTGGACTTAAGAATTCTGGACTCTGAATTTTAATTCATAATGACAAGAAACTTTGATTTTGGAGTTTCATTCCTTTGGACTTCAACTTGCAAGGAAATTTAATTTGGGGACTTGAATTTCTCTCTGGGAAATCATCATGGAAGGGGGTTGATATTCAAGTCAGGAGCATCTCTAAGTGGTTGGCCTTTTTTATTGAATGATCTCAACGCTATCATTTAACTTCACTACAGAGCCTCTGACGAGCTGTGCTGGATAAAATGACTGGATAGAATTTGGAATGGGAAGAAGAATAGGGAATGTGTCTTCAGCAGTGTGCACAGAGGAGCCTTGGGACCAATGCATTCATCTGATCCATTTTACAGCCTTCTGGGGACATAAGCCAGACTGTCTACCAAAGGCCTCAGGAGGATTGAAAAAGGAAAGGTGGTTGGCTTAGCTGAAGTGATTCAGGAAGGCTGGAACCGCCCTGGTGGTGACCAGCCCCCTTCCCTAAAAACAAAGGCCACACCCCTGGTTGGCCATAAAGTCCTCATTAAGGCCAGTGAGTTGAGAAAACCAACGTCCTTCCCTGGCTTCACGCCTCCATGCAAAGGAGCCTCCTGCAGCCTCTCTCTGCCCAGCCCCCTTGCCTCTCCGGGCAAGAGCAGCTCAACTGACTGGGGATGGGGAATAGACTAACTGGGCTAACTAAGTAGGCTGCTCACTCCTCCTCCCCACTCTTCTTTTCATATCTGCCCACAGGAGAGAATGCAGTAGTCCAAGATGTGCTTTCAGGCGTGCAGAGAGGCAAGGGCTCACCCCAGGTGCAAGGCCTGCTGCTGTCTGGCCAACCTCCATCTGCATCAAAGGCCATCCATGTCAGGGGCTGGCGCCAGTGGGCGCAGCTGGGTCTCAGACCAACCATGTCTCACAGCTGCCTTATCAGGAATAAATGCATGATAAAGAAAGTGTTATTTTCATCTCCACCATCTGCCGCTCTCGACTGACTGGACAAGAAACAAGAAGCATCCCCTGCAGTATGTACCTGGTGACCCTGGTGTCCAACTGTTTGGCTGTTTTGTCTTCTAAGCATTTACATTCATCAAATTTTTTTCTTTCTACTTTTATTGGGTTTGCTCTTTCTCCTCTAAACTTCTTGAGTTGAACAATTAAAACAGTATCTTAAAGGGTACTTTCTTCTTCATCAACATAGGCATTTAAAACTGTAAATTCCCAGCTGGACACGGTGATTCACGCCTGTAATCCCAGCACTTTGGGAGGCTGAGGCAGGTGGATCACCTGAGATCAGGAGTTCACAACCAGCCTGGCTAACATGGTGAAATCCTGTTTCTACTAAAAATATACAAAATTAGCTGGGCATGGTGGCACATGCCTGTAATCCCAGCTACTTGGGAGGCTCAGAAAGGAGAATCACTTGAACCCGGGAGGCAGAAGTTGCAGTGAGCCGAGATCATGCCATTGTACTCTAGCTTGGGCAATAAAAGCAAAACTGTCTCAAAAAAAAAACCTGTAAATTCCCCTGTAATTACAATTTAACTTGCATCTCCTAAGTTTTGATATTCAATATTATTTTGTCATTCAGTTTTAAATAATTAGGCATTTCTATTTTGATATTTTGAGTTCTTCATTGATCCATGGAATAATTAGAAGCATATTTTAAAATTCAAAACACAAAAAAAGCAGTTCGTTCAGAGTGGCTGTAGGGGAGAGAGTGACTGACTTCTGATCTTGTGGCATTACGGCCAGAGAAAGTTACAAAATTAGATTTGATACCGATTCTCTCAGTATAGGGTGATGCCTGCTTGGTGAGCTAAAAATATATATGAAGGATGATCAGTTTTTGTAAGTTTCAAAGTATGCTTTAAAATAATGCATATTCTCTAAATGGGAGTGCAGGTTTCCCCAGATCACCTTTTTAAACTGTATTTTATAACATCCTCAATTCGTTTCTTTTTGATCTATCAATCTACTGAGAAGTATGTGTAGATCCCCTATGACTGCGGGGTTTTGCCAATTTCTCCTTATAAGGCTATCAAGTTCGCAGATTCAGAACCACTTCCCTTCCTAGAGAATTACTTTCTTGGTGATTATTTAACAGCCTCCTCGATCCCTGGCACTGCACTTGCTTTGTCTCTGTCACCAGGTGCCAATGTTAAGCTACTTCCATTTGGGGTCAGCATTTTAACATCACTTTTCCACACACCACTTTCTACGTTGAGAGGCAGCAACGTTTCAGACCCCAGCTGGGTCCCTTACGAGCTGTGTCACTGACGAAGATGGGAAAACTGACCATCAACAAAAATACCAACATGTCAGGTGTGTTTCTATTCAATGTAACTCAAAACTATTAGTTTACAATGATACCAGACGAAAAAAAAAGCCACTGGTCCCCACCCTTGAAGGATGCCAGGGAATCATGTAATTATTTCAGAAATTGGCATATAAAGGGAAGAACCAAGTATTATCCAGCCTTTCCCATACAAACTGCACCTCAACAGAAGCAAAAAGTTGATCCCGGGAAATGTCTGGTTTTGGAAGCATCCCAGCTGACAAGGCAGGTGCTCTAGAAGTGGAATGTCACCACTGCACAAATGACATAAGCAGTGGGCATATGGCTGCTGACGTCATATAAAAAGAAGTAAGCAGAAGTCAAGGGCGCAGCGGAGGTGGTGCACACATCACCTGCTACAAAGAATTCTCGCCAAAAACAAAAAACGCGAATCTAATCACGAATCTAGATCTAACTCCTAATTTGGGGCTGAGTGTTTGCTGCACTGGTTCACTGGATAATTCTAATGCTGTGTATGTTTTAAACGTTTCATAGTACCACTTTTTAAAATAATAACATTGACAATTTACACACACACACAACTCAGTGCAGTGTCTCGCCTTCGCCATGCACACGAGTATTCACCAGCATCAAAGGCGCCGTCTCTGCCCACAGGCACAAGGATGTGGGTCAGGGCGCCGGAGCTGGGCTGCCCGGCCTCTTCCAGCTGGACCAGCTGCAGTCGTGGCGTCGCCGTGGGTGGGAAGCGGTAGAACTGGAAGGTGAAATACACAGTCTCTGGCCATGACGTTCCTCGGCAGTCCTGGGCCACTCTGAATCCAACAACAGCTCTAGGTTAATTGAGTGTCCATGGCACCGAATCTGGGGGGTCAGATGTGCATTTGCATAGGGGGATGGTCTGGGCAGCTTAGCCGCGGGGGCAACAGTAAAGAGGCTGCCACGGTCACCAATGGAACCGCTCTGCTGTGCTCTCAGCAAGCCAGCCAGACAGCAGCACTCTCGGGTGTAAGGACACTCTCCCGGCTGGAGAAGCTGCCTTCGGAGCTACGCTAAGATCTAAGACCTGGACAACACACCATCCACGTTCTAACAAGAAGATGGGGTAAAGCGGCTTTCACAGCCTTTAACATGCCGTGGGTGGGTCCTAGCCAAGATCAAATAAAAACAGACAGCGCTCCCGCATCTACTGAGACCTGAACATGGACAGTTCTCACAGGTCAGAACCTCAGCAAAGTTTCTCTTCAACTCAGGATATGTGAAAGCCAGATGAGTAACATAGAATATTCCAGGATTTACCTGCTAAAGGCGAGAAACTGTAGCACTATCTCGTTGCTTTGCAGACAATCCGATTCCTCCTTCTGAGGGTTAAATGTCACAGGGTCTGCAGGGTTGACCGCCTCGGCTGGCTGTTTATTGGCACCCAGAATCTCAGGAAAGCCAGAGGACTGCAGGAGCGCCATGGAGGCCCTCGAAGGCTGCCCTGCAGAGCTGAGACACAGCGAACCCTCAGGGAGCCTCCCACGACGGGGGGCCCATTGATGCACCTCCCTGTGGAAAGCCTGGTGGTGGTCACAGGTCCAACAGTCTGACGGCACAGCACGTGCCCGGCCCCATCCCGCCCAGACCCACACCTCACCTCCTCGTCTCGGTTCCCACGACAATAGGGGCATGCAAAGGCGTGAACGGCAGCTCCTGTAACTGTTCGGCAATGGATGTTTCGAGGACCAGGGAGGTCTGGCCCAGGTCGGCTTCCAGGTGGGAGATACCACCCTCCAACGGGAACTCCTGCTGAACAAAATGAGGGCTTCCAAGTGAGGCCACCAAGGACCCCAACCCGTAACAACTACCGATGCTCTGAGCTAGGGGATTCATCGATGAATTGCCTCTGGAGAGTCGCCAGCTCTAGCAAATAAAAATACAGGAGGCTCAATACTTGGATTTCAGGTAAACAACAAATAATTTTAGCATAAGTATATTCCCTGTAATATTTGGGACATACTTATACTAAAAAATTATTTGTCATTTACCTGAAATTCAAATGTAACTGGGCATCCTATATTTCACATGGCAACCCAATTTGCGAGTTGAGAAGGAATCCTAATTTTATGAGCAGGTCAGGACCGTGGAAGATACGTGATGCTTGAGATGGTAAATCATATCAAAACATGTTTATAAAAGCCCTAAAAGATGAAGCGTCCTCAACACTCCAAGATAAACCGTGGCACCGAGCCCCTAGCTGGTGTGTCTGAACAGTCTCTTGTCCCCACAGCCCCTGAACCTTCCATCGTTCACTCGTATTCCACCTCAAAGGCCGAGGCAGGCCTCTCAATGGGGAGCTGCCTCTGGAGTCAGGAATGTGCTCTCTCAAGCTTCCTTCCCAAGCTTTCTGTTTCAGTCCAGAGGGACACCAGGTCACCCTCACGCCATGTCTCAGGTGCCAGTTATAAAACGCTAGGCAAGCTCTTCACAAACACACTAGCCCCAGAGATGCTTTAGATAAGGCAGCAGAGACTCACGGTGCTAAGAGTGTTTTCAAACAAGGAATTAAAAGAAGCTATTTTTCCTCAACATAATTCCGGTTAAGACAAGAGACGTAGTTTGCAGGTGAACCAGCCCTAGCTTCTGAAACCAAACTCCACAGGAATCCCCCAAGGCTGGTGGCAACACAGGCCAATCTTGGCAGTAAGCGCACCCTGAAGCCAGGATGGCAAGCTCCACTCACATCCTTTAGCTGCTGACAGCAAGGAGGGTCCTGGGGTGCTGCGGGCCCATCTCACCTGTTTCTAGATCCAGACACACCCTCCTTTTACTTTCGTGTAGAGATCTAGGGGCAGCTAACTGTTTTTGTGGGCAGATCACAATCTGAATTGAGTGCTGTGACATGAAGAACTCACGGGCCACATTCGTCTTTGGTCTCTGAGACAGAATGATGGCAACTGTCTGAGGTCTCAGAGTGAGCAATGCCCCACCCCACCCCCCCATACCCCAGGGAACCTGCCACAGTCTCTGCCACCTAACTGAGGACCAGCACAGCGCAGAAACCCAAAGTGAGGAGCTGTGGAGCCATTCCTTGGTGGGAGGCGAGGTGGACGGCACTTACTGCCTGGGCTGGGGAAGCCCGAGAGCCATGGGGTGGCTGGGAAGTGGGCCTGGCCGAGCAGTGCCGAGTTGGGGACCGTGGGGAGGCCGCCAGCTGGGAAATCGACAGCTGGAAGGAAAGAGAGCACAGGTGAGGGGTTCAGAAGCTTGCCGGTCCATCCACGAAACCTCCAACACACGCTGGCCACACCGGGCAGCCCTGGATCCCATCACAGAAGAGAGTGATGCCTGCAGCCTTCTGGCCAGCGGTGGCTCTGGAATCTGGAACTGCTTCTCAAGTGCCTTTATTTAATGACAGGGAGGTGATTCCATGATCTCCCTCAGATTGTAATATCTGAATAAGAATATTATTAACAAGGAAAACAAGCAAGAAAGGAAAAAGCACCTCAAGCTACAAGGGTGGCCTGGCCTCTGCCTCTCTGTGCCTTGCCCACCCTGGATTGAGCGCCTCCGAGGCCAGGCGATTCTACCCGCCCGAGTTCCTGCTGAACACACCTCCCTATGAAGGCAGTGACAGCCTCGGCGGCCGGCGCAGGCCCTGGAGACAGCTGTGACGGAGTGCCTGCGCCATGTGGCGCTACTGTGTAGCCTCGGACGAGTCAGCTAACCTCTTTTTGCCTCAGTCTCCTGACCTATAAAATGGGGATAATAATGGTGCCTAAACCGCAGGACTGTTTGGAGAATTAAAGGAGAGTCCCAGCAAGGATTTGGCATAGCACCTGGTACGCGGTGAGCTTTCTATAAATGCTGCAGACATCTGGAAATGAGAGCGGCCTGGGACGCTCACGGTCAGCAATGACGGCCAGCCCACGCCAAGTGCAGGCAGAGAAGCCCCAACATATGAAGAGGCACTGAGGACCAATTGGGGGTGGGGTGCATGAAGCATCCCCAGGGGACCCTGGCAGCATCTTCAGGGAGCAGAGGAGATCTTTGGGGCCTGTCCAGCTTCCCTCAGACCCCACAAGGTATTGTGACCACTCAGGGTCATATGGAAACTGCACCAGGGAAAATGCCAGGTTGGGCCAGCAGGGCAGCTGGGAGGCCAACCACAGACTTGTGCCTTTAGGTGAACCCAGTATTCTTCACTCATGATCCAGTATCCCACTGCAGATGACACACTGAAGCTGCTTCCTGGAGACAGCCTTGGATACTGAATTGGTCAGCTTTGCTAGAAAGTCAATTTCCAGGGTGATGCTGGCAGACAGTCATCAGCAGGAACAAGCCACATCTGACCTCACTCAAAATCACACAGCCAAGGGCCAGCCTGGAGCCATGTATGAGTGCCACAGATGACTCGGGACTCCAGAACAGCAGCCACATAGGAGCTCAGCTCAGCAGGCAACAGCCCGGCGAGAAGGAGCCTCTCCTCCCACCCAGGAAGTTCCTGCTTGGCCTACAGGGCCGCGGTGCCTGGTGGGTGCCCTGGACACCAACAGCTGCCAGGCACCACTCCTTGTAGAATGAGTCTGGGAGAGCAAAGAGAGTGAGGACCACACCTCAGCATCTCTCAGAAAAAGCAAAGGCTGTCCAGTCCTGAAAGAGTCGCCACCCTAAGATGTAACTGCCAGGGAGAATTGGAGACACGCCCTAGACGGCAACATAGGGGTCACAGGCAGCAGCCCCCCTAAAAGCCCGAACTGATAGTCAGCAAATCAGGGACAGGCTGCACAGACAGGGCAGGAGAGGACACCCCCACCGCCGCCAACAGGCCGGTCCCAGCCACACAGAAGCACGCAGGGAGCAGCTGTGTGTAAGGGGGAACAGAGGGTTTTCTTGTACCCCAAACTTGCAAGTAATTGACTCAGGATTCTGAGTGCAGCCATGGGGGGCCTGGACTTACCCCTGGTCCCACAGGCGACTCCTGCAGGGCAGCGAGACCTCGAGGTGCTGGTGCTGGCGGGCCTGGGAGGAAGCACAGGGGAGCAGGAGAGGGGCCGTCAGCCTGTGCGGAGGCGATGCCCCCCGCACCCCCACGCAGTCAGGCCTCCACAGGCTTCAACACCTTGTCTGTAATGGGGTGGCCAGTGGTTACCGCTCAGGCACAACAGCAGCAAGGGTACTGTCTAGAGCCATGGTGTGCCCAGCACCCAGGAGAGGGGGCACAGCCGGCCTCACCCTGGAGGTGTGCGCCCTTGTTCTTTCTGGGTCAGGAGGTCTCAGTATGGGCGCTTGGAGCTCCCTAATGCGCTTCTCCTCACTTGTCATCTCTACATCCTCCCTGCCCTGAAGAGCTGGGGTCTGAGGTCGCCCCAGCCTTGTAGCTCCCTGACTCAGGCTGTCTTGTGAACTTCGAAGCTCCTAGGCAGACGCTGCCACCGGGCTCTCGGCCTTGTGAACGTGCACTCAGCACAAGCTGTTCACCCAGGTCCTGCTGAGGATTCTCCATGAGGGCCCGGTCACATTGGGAGCCCACCCGGGGGAGGCACGGCCAGCTCAGGGACTAAGAACAGCCTCTGCCCTTTATGAGGCCACAGCTGCCTCCCCAGCATCCAGGACTGCCCAAAGAGCCAGCAGCCTCCTCCCCAGGCCCACTGCCCCTGCCCAGCCCTGCCTCCGCCCAGGTGGCATCTGTGCTGCTTCTGCAGCCCCACCGCAGGCCACATGGACACCTCCGGGCCCAGCAGCCCCAGGGCTCTCAGCTCCTGCACCTCAGCAGGAGGAAGCCCTGGCACCACTAGAGTCTCTGAAACCCACCAGGTTCCTGCCACGGCGGCACTGGGACATCCACGGCCACTTGTCTCTCATGGTCATTTCACACACACTGCCATCTGCCTTCATCCGCCGTGACCACCCAGCCAGACCCCAAGCCCATCCTGACAGGGCCACCCCTACCTACTCAGAGGTCAGGGTGTAAGCCCCACGCACTGAGTGCACTGGGCCACCTGGCTGGCTTCCCTGAGGCCCACAGCCCTGGCCTCCAGCCCCACGTCCTGTCCCCGCCTGGCTCATGACAGCCTCCTTCATGGCGACAGGACTCTCCACGGCAGCAGACACCTCCCCTCCCCATGGGACTTCCAGGATAACCCAGACCTCTGGAGAAATCAGGCTTCCCGCATGGCCCTGTCCCACCTCCCGTCACCCCCATGTGGCCCACATCCTAGGCCCGGCTGCTCGCCTTGGCTCTCCTTCCCTCTCCTGTGGCTTCTGATGCTATGAGGTCAGGCAAACGAATTCCCACATGTCCTGGAATCCTGACTTCCTCAAGCACACAGCACAGGCCATGCTGGTGGGACCTATGGCCCAAGCACACAGCACAGAGGCCTGTGACATCAAACACTGGGCCCTGGACAGAGACTGCCCAGCCACTTCCTGTTCTGCTCTGAATCCCACAAAACAAAAACAACAAGGAAAAAGCTGTCGACAGAGGAGAAACCAAATCCAGGAAGCGCCACCCTAACGCCGGAGCTGTGCGACCACCAGAGCCCATCCCCACCCACGCCTCTCCCAGGAGCTTCCCAAACCCATTCGAGGAGGTACTGCCCCAGCTGTGAGATCCAGTGGAGACCCTGCTAAGGGCCTGTGGGTGGGGATGGGGGTACAGGAAAGCAGTGGGGGCCAGGCGAGAGGGAGCCCCCAACCCTCAGAGGATCCAACTGCCCACCCCAGTAGGCACAGCTCTAGTCCAACCACCTCCTGGGCAGTGCCCACTTGGCCCACGCAGCTCCTCTGTAACCAGCTACAGTAACATGGCTCCAAGAAGCTCAAAGACTCTGGTCAGAGGAGCCTGCCGTTCTATAAATGAGCTCCCGCTCGGAGGAAGTCAGCAAATGATCTAGCAAGCTCTGCTTCCCTGGGAAAATATCATCTCACTAAAAGCAAAATGCAGATGAGGGTTCTGCAGGGGCCGAGCTGTCCTGAAAGCCAGGTGCCTCTCCCCAGATTCCCCGAGCGCCTCTTACAGTCCATTTCAGAGCTCCGTGCAGCAACCCCTCCCCCCTCCTCCCGAAACAGCCGAAAGATGAAACAGCAGAGCGGCAAGTGTAGCTCCACTCTGTTCCTCCGTAAATGGGAACTCTGAAAACTCCGCAGGCTGATTTTGATAATGAGGACAAACTGCAGGAAATGGTTCCATTTTCTTCCGTGGAGAGAGCGGGCACTCAGGGGCCAGACCTCTACTCCTGTGCCATCCTCTCGGGGAGGAAAGCCAGGATGGCAAGTTAAACCTTCGAAGCACATCTGAACTTCCTGCATGCACTTTATTTCCCCATCGTCTCAAATGTATGCACAGTGTGGGCAGTTTTTTCAAGTAACTCTTTATATCATGACTTATGCAATTTTTTCTTCCAGGAGAGTAAAACTACCTAAAAGGCCTTTGGTGACCATTTAAAAAGACACCTGGTGGGAAGCCCAGGCCCCCAGGGCCAAAAACACAGATCCGTCTGGTGAAGCACAGCAGGAAGACATCCGCCACAGCCAGGAAATAACTTGGTTTTGAATCTCTGTTTTAATGTTCAATGTGGTCGTGGGATAAGGAGCTTCCCAAACTATACCCATAGTCCTACCTGGAAGACAGCGTGGCCGCCAGCGGGCACCCACTGTACTCCAGCCCCAGGAGTCTCCCAAAAGCCACAGTGGAGTATGGGACACCTGACTTCTGCCACATGCCAGGACTCGGCTGACCAGCACCTGAGCCAGCTACTGAACCTGGAGCAGCAGGCGTGTGCATAGGACGCAGGCAGGAACGGCTGCGGTGGGCAGAGGGACGAGTACCAGGCCTTCTGGGACAGCACTGTGACAATAGCAAACATCACCAGATGCCACCCAGGTGCTCCTGCAAACAGAAGCTACCGTAGCAGAACCCACAGCTGCTGCGAGGGCCAGAGGAGCAACGGGAAGGCAGGAGGCCAGCGGCCTGTGCTGACCTGAGCAGGTTAATCTGCGTAGCCATGAAGGGGGGCCTAGGACAGAACAACGCAGGGGTCTCTCCAAACCACAGCACTCCAGATCAGGGGTGCCTGCCTGACAACTGCCGTCTCCCCGAAGGTGCTCCCCCAACCCCTGCAACAAGCCCTGTCCCCAAGGGTCTTTGTTTCTAGACAGCTTATGTGAATGTCTCCCTTTTGTCTTTAAAAATCTCTCCTTTGCACCAAGCCCCGGCTGCACATGCAGTGTGACCTGCACACGCAGCTCGGCTACAATCTCCTGCTAGTCCCCAGGCAACTCTGCCACAGAGAGCCCATGCCCACGGCCCATTTCAGGTTGACAACATTAGAGAGAAAAATGAAAGAAACCCACCCGTGTAAGCAGGTATGCTGGCAAATCCACGGTAACCACACCCACTCGACGTGCCTCTAGGAAGCATGTATTTGTACATTACCTGCATAACTTAAAGTAAACTAAATTTTAGTTTAACGGCCATTCTAAGATATCCCTTCAGGTCCCCGCTGGAGCCTGAAGTAGTAACAGGGTCAGCACAGAACAGAAAGCCAAGACCTCCACAGCCAGCCCAGGAGCAGCTCCTTCTCCCAACACAGAGCCGCTCCATGCACACCCCTGCGGCAGAGGCCTGGGCTCCCTCACTGGGAGGTGGAGTCAGCGTCTGGCCGAACCACCACAGAATCCCAGTTTCAGGGAAATAACCTGGATTAAGAAGAAGAGCACAGAGCCTGGCCAACGTGAGAAAACCCCATCTCTACTAAAAGTAAAAAAATTAGCTGGGCATACTGGTGGGTGCCTGTAATCCCAGATGCTCAGGAGGCTGAGGCAGGAGAATCGCTTGAGCCCGGGAGGCAGAGGCTGCAGTGAGTCGAGATCTCGCCACTGTACTTCAGCATGGGCAAAAAGAGTGAGACTCCGTCTCAAAAAAAAACAAAGCAGCACAGAGACTCAGCTTTTCCACGGCTGCTCTGAGAAGTTTGGGGCCAGTGGGCCCTCAGACGGGGTTGCCAGCACACACCTCCTGCCCAGAGTCAGGTCTGAGAAGAGCAGGAAGAGACTAGGTCACTTACGACACCAGAGCCAACTGCAATCCAGAACTGCTCCACATGGCTTGCTACAGACAAAGGGAAACTGACTTCCCACCGAGGGAGGTTCCTCCACCTGTCAAGATTCCTTCTCCCTGACGCTCTAGCACTCTCTAGTCAGTCTCCGCTTGCTGAAAGCCACGGTCAACAAAATCGCCCAAGTGTCTACTTTTCTGTCAACATAGCTTCAAGAAACTCAAAAGCTTTGTACTCAACAACAGTGCAGGCCTCAGGAGGCAAGGCAGGGCCTGTGCTCCGACCTCAGCCCCGGTGGCCACATGTCCCACCTGGTCACACAGAGCGCCTTCACACTGCCTCCGCACTCGCCTGGAGGGGGGCCTGCAAGAGCAGGCAACACGCACATTCCACACTCAGAGAGAGGGACACGCCCTCGGGCCCACAGCTCTCAGACAGCACTGTGGGTCAAACGGCAAAAGTTGTACAGTGAACAAATAATGCTCAAACATGCTCACAGGGACAAGACCCCCGAACTCCTCCTTCCTCCACCCCCAGGGAGAGCATTCTATATACAGGGCAGAGAACAGAAAAGCACACAGTTACCCAGAGTGCTAATACCACTAAAACCACAGCCCCAAACAGAGGCAGGAGCTCTCCAGCCAAGCCCATGGCCGCCAGCCACAACACTGCCCCCAAGGAAGGGTACTGGGCTCTGCTTCTCAATGCGCTTGGGGCAGGAGACAACAGCAATGAGGAGGCAGCCTCCCCGCAAGCAACCCTCTTACTTCCAGCGTCACCGCACCAGACAGATTAAAAGTATTGGCTGGACGTGGTAGCTCATGCCTATAGTCGCAGCACTCTGGGAGGCCAAGGCAGGAGGACTGTTTGAGTTCAGAAGTTGGAGATTAGCCTGGGAAACATGGCAAAATCCCATCTCTACAAAAAGAAAAAAAAATAGCCAGGTGTAGTGGCATGCACCTG